ATATAGGACGCGTTTTATCGAGTTCATATCGCAACTATATTAAAAGTTAATTCAACTATATTAAAAGTTAATCCAATGGAGTCCTCGGAACATATTAGCAATACAAGTATGTGTGTGTGTGTGTGTGTGTGTTTTGAAACAACGTGACATGCAATGCATCTCTCCCACATACTGTGGAGCATTTCCATGAAGTAATTCTATTTCCGGTTTCTGGGTTTACTCAAAATGTGCTAAATACTTGAAAAATCAGTTAAAAATATTTTTTTTTCAGTACGATTAGTTTTTTTCAATGCATGCAGTGACGGTAGTATTTGGGCTACTCAGTTTCATTTAAATATATCAACGTTTACATATATACGCAACAATATTTTTTAAGAGTCGATTCCAAAATGACCGACGAGAGGCAGTTTTGTATTTTTAGCATGTCTCTGTTTATTTATCAGACGAGTCGCGTCATAAATGGTGCATACCGTTAAGTTCTGAAATAGGCGAAGGGGACTACGTTATTGACAGTGCAAACGCATTCTAATTCGGCCTGTCATTTTCAGTATTTCCCAGATGCTTACAACAACACCTGCACACCCGCGGGAATTGAGTCCTAGGCGACACGCTACGCCGCCTGTCGCGTGCGCAAATGTCGACTCCGTCCCCCGCTTTAAATCCAAGCAGATACAATTGAAATAATGCAACCAGACAAAAACAACTTATATTTTACACTCCTGTATTGTTCTCACCACATGTGTACAAATATTGTTGTAAAATATCGATTTTTTCTGAAAACGGACTCGACAGTTTTAGTTAAATTTAAATAGTTTGTAGATAACCCGCATAGTTCACGTTACTATATACAATGGTCGCTTTGTTATGGCGGACAGACCAACACCAAATACAAACCCCACTACGTGGTTAGTCAGAGTTCCTCAGATTCGGCGTATGGAAATTAGACATATTTCCATTTAGTGGGTTGAAAAACCCAAACATTTTGAAAAGAGAAAGGAAAAATATAAACTTATTTACCGTAAAGACGAATGCGAATTCCTAAAGTCAGATGGCGTGTCAAAGTGTGCACTATGAGTACACGTACGCAGTCCGTAACAGGCGCTAATTGGGAAAACGCTTTAGTTAATATAACTGTGTAGACACGTGACCTCTTGCCCGATGCCGAAGACGATATTTATCATTGGCGGATTTAGATGGGGGCCGAGGGGGCCGCAGCCCCCTAATTTTCAACAACCAACATGGCTTTGCGCCATCGGCGCTCGCGAACTTGGCCTTAGCCCAACTTATCGGCCCCCCCTATTCCAGAATCCTAGATCCGCCCCTGTTTATCGATCCGGAGATAGTTCGGCTACCCATGAGAGGGGACATCTGATCGCAAAGCAGCCGAGTAATCAAACGAAAGGTTTGAATGATTAAAACTACTATACACAGTATGCCAACAAAACACAAAGGCGGAAACTTTTAAGAAGGAATGTGCACTACGACAAAAAACGTGTTCAATATCACTATTCCCTTCGCAGTATTAATAACTTCCTGTGGCTGATATCAACAGTTTAACTCTGCACAGTACTCGAGATGTCATTTTAACGACCTAGTGATTGCTATATTTTAATTTAAGATGTTAGGATAGAGACACCTGTATCTACACAAGGGAGCGATAACCAATAAATTACCGTTCAATTGTAAGTCCATTGGGACGTTGAGACGGTCACTTATATTAGACTGGATACAGGTGTAATGTACAACGTGCCCATTATGGCAGGTTAATATACTCATAAAAAAGGACGATATTGGAAGACGAAGTCTAATATTGCGAACTCGTTCGTCATGACAATCCCGGCCCGCGTATTCGTATCCCGCTATAACCTATCTTTTGGATTCATCTGACGCACGGTCATCTCAGCTCGTTTTAAATATGTCAATCTCACTCGTATAGACATACACACGTGCGGTTTGGGCCAGAATTCAATATTTGTGTTGTTATATTATGAGTAAATACCCCTAAACATTTACACAAAGTGAAGTAGAAGATATGCCTCTTCGCGTGTGAAGCATCGATTCGACGAATGCAGCTTACGTGGCGTTCACCCCGAGGCTTCAGACTTGTCTGGATCCATCGCTCAGGACCGTTCGCCGTAGTAAATAAATTACCACGGTTATAAAACATGAGATGTGAGTCACGTCCCTGGTGTATACAAGTCTTTGGCACCTGGCAGTACATACAACCGTGGCGAAACAGACAGAAGTTGTTTTTAAATTCACCTGGCGCTCAACAAGCTTGACAGAGTTGTCGGTATTTTCAGTATTTTCACGCGTGTCCACTGGGACACACTAACATGTCATTGTATTAAGATTGTTGAAGGTGAAATACACTTGCAAACCAAAGAAATGCCATTCGGAACATATTGTATCGACTAAGTCATTCAACCAGTTAAAAGCGATACGAGACATGTTCTGGATCGAGATTAAGGTGTTAGAAGAAACAAGCGCATTGTACAATATCGTTCATTTAATTTCACGCCATTCTCCGTGGCCCTGATTCCGGGGTGGTGATGTGGGTAAAACATCCAAAGTCCCGTTTAAAATAATATGTTCACCATATATACTAGCATATATATTTCAAACGTTACGGCAACCCAGAGCCACCTACAAACTCGATAAATTTCGGCACTTTGTTTAGCCGGTCATTCATGCAATTTCAAGTATATGTTTTTTAAAAAAAAAAGTTTAAAATTGAACGCATCAAGATATTGTATCTCGGGCAAATACACAACAATCCTAATAGTGTCCCTTGTGGGCCATATCGCACAATTATGTATGGCTCATATGAAATCTGGGGTCACAACAGATCGTGGCTTTTTGGTACTTTCTGGACCATTAGCTTGACAGTATCTCCGTATCACACAACAGAACAAGTACACACTGGTGGGGTACAATGAAATGCATTTCACACTGCAGCCAACTCAATGGAAATAAGAGCAAAACTTATCCACGTAGCTGCCAGGGGCCAGCTGCCCATAATAAAACTGTAATAAGTTCGAAAGTTTATTGTTTCCGACTTTCACCGACACCTGCGGGTAGCGATTTGCTGCGTTGTTGGATATGTTGGCCCATGGCGATAGATACGCAATTGTTCTTTTAAACGACTCAGTTGTTTAAAAAAGGTCCTAAGAGCGAGCGCGCACTGAAAACGTGGCACGAATTTACGAGCAATGACAAGCACAGATTTAAAAACAAATAGCTCATCAAGTTCTATTGTGCTTGTTTTAGCTAGTAGTTAGTACCCGCGCGACGAGAGCTTAATATGTCGCTATGTCGGTGCTATAGTGCGGGCATTAGCCGCGTACCAGAGAACCACTCAACCTTTGCTTGTCTAATTTATTCAAGCCTAACAAAGGCACACACTCGCTTAGAACTATAAATACAGCTAGGTGAAATACATTCCACATAGCTTGACAAGTCGTAGCATGTCTGTGCGAAGGACAGACAACTTTAAATGGGCGTGTGTAGGCAGGGATACAGCGAATAAACCCCCAGTTTAAACACACTACAGGACCAACACGTTAGTTCCAATGGCATCGCCAGCCCCGGTGACTTAACATGGGAAAGACTAATAAAACAACACAGTATCCGACTTGACAATAGGGTGAGGGAGAGATGCAATCAACTATGGTCGATGGATATGTTCTATCATATACATATACAATATACACGGCACTGTGTTCTAAACGCAATAAGTTTCCTGAGAGACAATGGAAGTTAGCATAAATCACAGTGCATTTGTCACAGCCCAGGTTCCGCTGACTACGCCTCTAAACTGTTTCCCGTTATACCCTGCCGGGGTACACTGGCGAAGCAGTGACTCGTTCTTTTTATGATAGAGATATATTTTTTTAATGAAACCAGACCACGTCAAGTGTAACATTATATAGGTGGTTTAAATCATTCTCGCCATGCCTTGGTTCACATGGGTGAAAAATAAAAAACGCCGACACGGACACGACGTTATAATTTTGATAATATTATAAATATTATAGTTTTCAGGATATATTACCTCGTGGCCGTTGTAGTAGGCGGTATGCATGGCGTGACTGGAATTTTAGGTCTAGAAAGCCAGTGTAAGGTCATTGATGGGGATGACCCCGATACCCAATGATCATACTGATATTCATTCAATAACCCCCGACGAGCAAAGTCCAATTCAATGATTGTAAATATGATCACGGTCTGTATGATCGACGCCAGTTTCATGAAGAAGGTTTGGAATAATGGCAGAGTACATTAATTGTCACGCTGTCAGCATTCAACGCTCTGTGTCGCCTGTTTTTTATAACCCATCCTAAACTATACACGACAAAGATAAATGCGAACGTATTGTGCGATGGGACAAAAGCAGCCAGGTATATGGCAGCTACCCTAAAACACTCCGTACCGATTCGACTATAGCGGCCAACTCGATCACTCATATTATTTATGCCAGCTCATTTGTGATTAATGGTGGGTTAATAAGTTGACGTGGTTACTACTCACCGTCACTGTGTTGTGGCGTAATACAACGTCATTGAACTTGGAGTCTAGGCGTGTCCGGCAATCTTGGGCGATATCGGCATCAAGACGAAAGGCAGAGGGACCAATCTCACCGATTGTCTAGCTCGACCAGTGACGCATGTCTGACGCGTGTGTTTAGGTACTAACAGCTAGCAGCGCGTGGCAGGCGTATGTCAATTGGCAGAGGCGCGGATATTAATATTTTTTATAAACACACCGAATCGTGTTTTTTTAACAAAGAGAGGAGAAGGGATTGAGGTCAGGCTTTACATATTTATACCACAGTTATCGCCCCTATTATATTTAGTGTTTGTAGATTTATATCAATGTTTCCTTGGTGACTAATATTCAGCTGCTTTGATTATGTTTGTATGGATTATCCCGATTTCATTAGAATCATATTTTGATTAGGAATATTTTTTTATGAATATGGTTATCATATCGAGGTTTGAGCTGACTTACCAGATACGTTTGGATAGGATGGGTACATATATAGCCACGCCTATCGTATTTTGTTCCGTATATATGGGATGGAAATTACAGAAGCACAACAATACGATGAAGAGGAAATATGCCTTTTATTACAAAGCATTCCTTGGCATTATTCGAACAACAAAAGTGCAGGATGTTCCATTCATATAGAGGGTGCGTAGCTTGGCATTACAGGGGCACATGCAGTATTAATGCCTTGCCGGAAGTCTCGCGTTAAAACGCAAGAAAAAGAATTGCATACTGTATCCACGTTGTTTTGTATCAAATGACTAGAGGCCACGAACTCTGTATAAAACCTTCGATTATATCCATGATTTGACATTCGTGTCTCAGTGAAAAACGAAAGTTAATAAACCGAAATATGAAATAAGTATTGGTGTATCCGCCGATAACCACTGAAGCAGTTACTCAGTATATGTCGTGATCGACCTACCTGTGCCGTCAGATTTGTCCCACGTCGCGTCTTAGTGTTCGTACTCCATACCCACGTAGGTCAGACACACCAGCAAGTGACCGGTTAGAAAGGCGAACTTAAAATCCAAGATAAAAGTCAAAGTGAGTGGTGGTGATTGAGGACATACACAGTAATGAACCGCCAGTGTATTCGCCCCAAACAGACCGTTCATAACCAAGTCGATGTCACTTTAGAAAGCTAAATATTGACTATACTGGCGTGCGAATCTATCCACGATGACAATACCCTGCTGTCATTATGAGGTAACAACCCATTCACAGACAACAATGCACGGAGTTCGGTTGAGACAGGAATCTTTACACATCAGCGTATACGTCGACACATGCTTTCAGTTCACACATTTAAGTTCAGCAGTTGCGCGGACTTCGAGACTCGCAGTGCAAACACCATTATGCCACTCTCAACCCACACATACCGAGAAATCAACGACTTGGCCTGCCAAAGATTAGGTGCATTCCAAACAGCCACCGGAACACAAACAAATTAAACATCAACGGCGACATTTTTTCACGCCAGGCGCACCACATTGTCAAGAACGTTAATATCTTCTTAAGATCAGAACACACAATTCATGGCCGTGTATATGTACTTTATTTTTAATAGGATTTACGCTACGTGTTATACAGTTTAAAAAAACGGCACCAACCACCACCTGTTGATGTCGGTGTTGCCTGTTGATATGGCCGTCGATTGACGCAACCAGGGACTTCTTCCCAATGCGGTAATAAAAGAAATAAATTGTTGTTTTGAACATTGTGTATGTTTCAACAAAACAAAAATAAGCAAACCTAGTTGATTTATGCACGGTGATGGGATTAAACAGTGACTTGTTTGGGTGGCGCATTTAGATAAACAGTTTTACATTACAGCACCGCATTCCCAATCAACCAAAGAGAGGGGGCGTATCGTGGGCAAGAAACAACGAGAACAACAGCATTGTCAAATTATTTTCTACTATGGGCCGGAATATCTGATGAGTCGCGTTGTTGATTAACACAATCACACAATACCATGCAATAAACCAGCCCGTAAAACATCTTATAACTATAATATGAACCCATCGAGGCGTTCTTTCAATGAAAGGAGTCATGCATTACGCCCGTATATGTTTTTAGGCCTATGGGTGGATAGTGGGCGTACCAGATATAGTGCAAAACCCCGATTCTCGGAGTCGGTCACGGACTCGGACACTCTGGAGACGTGCTACAACCAAGGACTGATTAAGTGCTAAGTAGCGTGGTACAGTTTAGAAAACACACACTTGACATGTGTGTAAACACCACAATCCCCGCGTTGTATTCAACTGATAACTATCACCTCTATTATGCGCTGAAGGTCACGGAAATACTGCTCGTGAGTGTTTGCTCTGTGTGTTTTAAACAAGTTCATTTCCCCATCGTTCAATGCAACCGTCAATAACAACACCGTCTTACTGAGTTCATAACCATCCCTGTTCGCCGATGTGCAGATGAACAGGTGTTATCGGCCGTGAAATGGACGTGTTGTGACTTGTTAATTTATTTGATGTACAGCGCCACCATTCAAGTTGCTGGTTTATTTTCTGTTAATTTTCCATGACGGGTAGTAATTCGACAACGCGGGGTTTAGTTACGAATGTACGTGCTAGACCTCAGACGTCAATAATCCCACTGTACCCGGCATACAATGATTTCACGAAGACTACTTGATATAAATCATGGGAAATGTAAGAGTACAGCTTCGAACAGAATCGAAGATTATATTCTCTTGTCTCTTGTAATTCAGGGTATATGAGATAGAAAAAAAAAACTTTTTCTTCAGAAATAAAACGTATAAATGTTGTGAAAAATGCTCACAGTTACATTTCCTTGTTTCTGCATTGGTTACCATGGTGACAGCATTGCTTCACATTTAACAGTTTTGCTCGATGGCCTGATGTTTGTATTATTATTGATACTAATCATACTGTTAACACAGGGGAGCGTTTCCCTAGAACGATATGGTGCGCCGCCACGCATCTTCAAATGTGACTCATTTTCGACGCAGCAGTTGGCGTTTCGACCATAGTTTATTTCCAAAAACACACTATCGGGCTTAGTCGGGTTTGTATTTCAGATGACAAACGACTTCAACTTAAAAACCAAGCAGAGTTGTCTACTAGTATTTGATGACTCTGGCATCTACGTCGCAATCGTGTACCTTACTCTGGTTCCAAAAACGCATATACTTGATACTTAGCATTTTACGTCGCAATCCAGGTAAAATGTTCATCGACAGGCTCGAGTATGTAAGGTTTGGAGTGTTATTTATTAATAACCATCACATGAAACGAACATCTGATGCTATTTTCACTAACATACGTTGTATACATGTTTCAATGCGCGATGCATCTTTCTATTAAGTCGTCCATCTACCAACAAAGCAGGTCCGTGACTCAGATAAAGAAAGGACGATTTTATGAGATTTAATACATTCTAAATGACTATATCGATAAACGATTTTCATCTAAGTCCCACATTACCACACGATCGCTTCATCGCTAGAAGGCTCGAGTCGTGCGACTTATGTAAACGGTTTCGCGGCACCATTTAGTAGTTGCAGATACAAACTATGGTGCATTCATCATAATTTCTTCATCAATGCTTTCAACTATTCTATCAAACACAAGTAAATTGCTTAAAATAAATACGGATATTTAAACATATCCAATTAAATCCAAATCTTGATTTCGAGTTCGATTTAGATTAGACTAGAACTAAAACCCAAATGCTTGTGATGTCAAATGATTTGAGTATGTACCTTCTCGACAGAAGTAAATGTTTTTTAACGTCGGCAAAAATTATGATTTTAAAAATAAACGAATGACGAACATTCTGGTAATCACGACGTTGATGGTGGTTCTATCGCACACTGCAGTGAAAGGGGCTGGGTAGAATTATCTACTTTCCCTGGAACTATTTCAAACACAAGTAAATCCAATATGAATATAATACCCTTTATATAATAGTATTTGTTGAACAGGAAAGATTGAACTATACTGGATCTGGTACAGTAGTTAGCGTGTCAAGTTGACCTCACATCGGGAGGTTTTCAGTTCGTTTCCCACAGCCGGCCGTTCACCCTGCAGTATATAAGGTCATGCCACTAATCAACCAATCATCATTCGTAGCCCAATTTAAATGCCTTGCAAGACCCAATGATTTTGTTTAAATATTTTTCTCAGGTGCGCCTTCTTTGAGGGCGTGCATCAACTGGGTCAAAGGTGAGGCTAACATGTGATCTTTTGCTTATTACTTAGCGGCTGTGTACCTGTGGGTTTATTCTGTGTGTATTTGGATGTTCTAACCTTGGTGTTTTTTTCCAGTGATTTCTCTAGGTGCAATGCAAATACAGTAGGTGTGTCTTGTTTACCTGCGATTTGTAAAGGTGTGAGCAGGCATGTTTTTTCATTTGGTTGATTACTGGCATGTTGATTTCCCATTTTTGAGCCATGTTTTCAACTTTGTTTATCATTTTCATATAGCAATCTCCTTATATGTTAACATTGTCGTCTATGGAGTTTTAATGAGTGGTATGAGCCCATAACCCAAACACGTGGTATTGGGTTTGGAGACCAGATTGTATATAACAAACAAATCGGGAGAGACAGCAAGTACCCTGACTTCATGTCTGGATATGTCATTTGGCACAAAACCATTTGAAATAAATAAATAAAAATCCCACAACATCAAATATACATTGCACACGTACGCTGTAATTTGTATAATTTACCGAGTTTGAATGAAACTGGTCAATCACAGAATGGCAAGTTGGGTTGGGAGTAGACTCTGATGGAATTCAAAATGAATAGCATCTGTCTGCAAAGGGCCCCAAGCAGATGATTAATATTGAAAGAAATATCCAAATTAAAATTCAAGCGACAATTTTTTTTCTTTCATGTCTTATTCACATAAGACTGTAATTTGCTCGTCTCAAAAATGATAAAAATGTAACAATTTGATAATTTAGCAACTTTGAAACTCACAAACACCACGGCGACTATAAATAAGAAGACACGTTTTTTCTAGTAATAATCGATTTAAAATTAATTTTTAGAAGTTACTTAAAATAAATAAATGGTTTAAACATATTGATATTGTAAGAACGAATACTCAATTCACTATAATACAACGCTTACATGACATTGATATATTGATAGGTGAAGTTTGGTAAATAGTTAATAAACACCTCACTGACTCGGCAGAGACTTTTAACTTGGCTGTCCGTGTTGCAGTCATCATGTAGCTAAGTATGCCCTGAAGAATTCATCGTAGTAGCAGAGTTGGTGAGTGACACAATTCATTGTGTCTCTCTGATTCCCGATTTTTATTTATTTAATTTGTAAAGTTAACCCGAAATATTATGAATTTGCAGTAATAAATAAACCGAAAATAAACATTACTAACATACAGCCGAGTTTATGACACATACACGCCATATCAAATGCATATATCATAAGTAAATGCACATATACAAAGTATTGTTCAGTTCACATTGACAGGAGTAAAGTACCCACTTTACCATTCAAATGACTTAAAACCCCATTAATTCCATAAAATAAATGTTTTAACGAAGTTAGAATATTCAAAACAACGCAGTTGTTGTGGCCTTGTGTACTAGCCTCGTCCCAAGACCAAATGTATTTGTTTTCTCGTTGGTCATTAAGTTTTTGCAGTGTAAACGCAACACACGACGTCGTACATTATTCATTCCGATATAAGAATTATCATTTCTGATAAAATTATTTGTCCATGAACCCCGGACAAATCGGCACAAAGTAGGACCAACGTCTGTTACGAATTCTGGTTGAGCAAAATGGTAAATCGTAACATTTTCTTATTGCTTCGGTTTGCCCACGTGACTGGGTAACGTCTAACTGTTTCCATCGTATTATACCCCGCTCTTGTGGAGTACCTGGTGAAAAAAGATGTGAATACATTACTGCACAGAAAAGAGGCGATAAGTGGATGGGAAAGAAGATAGGGGAGGGGTAAAGAGGAGAGGTGGGGGTGAGGAATATAAGAGAAGGTCATGTAACAATTCATCGTAATATTCGCTTTTATACTTCACTGTCGAAAGACATGTCTTACCTGGTATAGTATTGTCAAGTAGAAACCCAATGACACCAGCCACGAACATACCCGTTTTTAGCAATACTGTAATAATTTGATCTGCAAGCTTACTACCTGAAAACAGAACGATTCTAACATTTAATGTAAATACTAGTACAACCTATTTTTAGCAGGAAAAAGTTATTTTTTAATAACCTAATATGACGTGTATATGATTATTCTATTACAATGTACCACGTGGTTACTAAAAATCGGGGTTTAAGAAGCTGTGTCATAGTATCATGCAATGACAATGCACAATCCCTTTGTTGTTATTAACGGCAGTCAATCACATGTCAAATCACATGTATATCGAAGTGCCCTATGCATATTTGTATGCAGCATGTTTGTGTCTACAATCACACACACACAGTTAGAGAAACTTATATGGGTACGATGGTAATTGCCTGTCGACTGTTTGTTTCGAATCTGAAACAAAAATGTATGATGAACACACGTAACCAAGAGTATGATCCTACAATGCCCAATTTAGCTGCGAGAAATGAATCCGGGCGATTTTAGGATTTTTGACAAAATAGGCGCCAATTCAACAAAATTGATCAAATCGCAAAACACCATGTGTTATGTTAAAATGTGCAGATTTAAATGTCACGTTAAAACAATCAGAACAAACATAATACACCCAATACGATTTCAACGGGTTCACCGCTGATGAACTTCTAATAATCATGATTAAACGCACGACTCACAGAATTTGAGCTTACTCGAGGATACGCGCTGCTAAGAAATCTTTGACACGGGCATTTTGGACTTTCAGTGTAATGGAAGCAATTTCGGGAACTATTTCTTTTAATTTACTCTTTGTTAACTTCTAGTACTTGATTGAAATTTTGTTCAGCAGAACATCGGGAATTTGTCGTGGGTTTAAATGTTTCATTTTTAACTAGTTAGTCGTGATAATTTTTAAGGCGTAACATCGCCACTCATCATGCATTCGAATTTCATGTATACACGAAAAACGTATATTAAACACGTGTTGCATGGTATATTATCGACACGGTGTGAAAACTTCACCGCGTTTTATGCTTACCTAAGTCGATAATATCTGGATTAGATTCAATGTGATCTGGAATCATAACACCACAAAATATAGCTACACCGAAAATGCAGAGATTTCTGGAAGAATTCATTTCGACAAACTGAAGATGGGCTGCCCCAGCAGCAGTGATGATTCCTATAAGAAACACAAATATAAATAAATGAAAAAAATGAATGAATGAAAAACAAAAACAACTTGAAAAAACAAAACAAAATACTACCGTTTTCATTGTTTCAGGGTCAAATACTGCCACGTTTATATATTTTACGATGAGTTGCATTGCTCACAAGAAACAATATAAAACACAACAAGTTCAAAATCATGTTTGATTGGTCACGTTAACCAAAAGGAGAAATGTACACAGGCTTACCGAGTATAACAATTAGAGCGCCACCTACGATGGGCAGTGGGAGTGTCGAGAGAGCTGCGCCCACTTTACCAATCACTGCACTCACGAGCAAAACTAGCGAAGTCCACTGCATCACACGCCGGCTTCCAACCTTGAATGGATTAATAAAAAAATGGTTTTCAATACTCAGATTTTATAGAACGACTGATTTAATGAGGGAATTCATAAGTCATAGCATCTAGCGGCAAAGCGTTGTGTGACTTACACATGAAGTTGTTGATTGAAAGCAACATATATGTAGTAGAATCTGTTTTTTTAACTGTGTGGCTGGTTTTTTAATTCAACGACGGATAAATACAGACCGTCTTGAAAACAACATCCTCAGAGCAAACAGAAGTACGTCACCGCTAGAGGGCGCTACTTATCGGGAAGGCGTATCGCACCCCAGTTAGCCAGCGTCGCCATTGTTAAAGAAGATAGTATAAAGAAGATAGTTACATGTACTAGTACTTTAATCTACAATGAAATGTAGGATACGATTAAATTCGTACCTTGGTAATAGCGATAGCCCCAATATTTTCTGTGTATGACGTCACACCAACGCCAGCACCCCATATTCCCGCCAAAATACAGCATAATCCTTCCATGGCAATACCGCGGTTTACGGCGTGTGGTGGCGGGGAAGGAGCGCCACTCAGTCTAGCGCATGCGTAGTAGTCTCCGATGGATTCTACTATACTTGCAAGCACACCCGTGATCATCCCAACCACCAACGCGAAACTAAATCTCGGAGCTCCCCATTGACCTGAAACGACATGACACCAAAATAAACATGAAATTTTGGAAATGTGAAAATAAAATGATAATATTGGACAGGTAATACTACAACAGAACGCTACAGCGAGTTAAACGCGGACGTCGAAATGCATTCGTTCAGGCGTGGCAAGAGTGTGTTTCAAGATGGCCGCGGCGCCACTCATGACTGGTCGGTGGGCGAAGCTCAAAATTACAGTAAAGACACATTAACATTCGATAATCTTATAATTGAAATACATTTCTGAAGATATTTTATTTCTATATATGACGTTTCTCGTTTTGAAACAATAATAAAAAATGGCACCGCCAGGATGCCGGTCGAATCTCAATATCTTCACACCATATTCTCGGGCGGACATCCGAGCATTTTCACCGCCTTGCTTGTAACCTTCAGGGTGAAAACAAAGGCCGGAAACTCTCGGAAAACGGTACTTTGGAACAGTTGCTGAGACTTCCATGAACAATGTAACAATTTACCCCAAAATGTGTAACAAATATACAATTGGTTGCTCGGGATTGCTTCAAAGTTGAGATTGAGTTTTTTCGACTTCATCTGTTTTTCACCGGCTATTCGACTGGCGTTCCATAGCAGCTCGCACTGAGCCCAAAAAAATACATGGTACAGTGGTGCACGTAGAACGTTCTGTACGGAGCACCCCCCCCCCGAGAATAGGGTATTTAGATGTCTTACTACAAGCTCTTCTATTTTCTCATTCATAAACATTTTATCTAAACAAAAAAAACTCACTTTATGGTTTTCAACATTCCCATAAAGGTCCATACCCAACTGATGAAGGATAAACATAACATAATTAACCATATTGTATTATAAACATCGTGGTATTATTCAGATACGAACCTGGCAATGGAAACCATATCCACGGCGCTTTCTCAACCGACGCTGTGCTGTAATCGGTTCGGGCCCGATTTCCATGTGGTATGACGTCACTCGCTGTGAAGATATAGCAGATAAACCAGGATACACTAATTGCCATGATCACCTAGACAATGACACATAATATTTCATGATATATTAAACACATCGACAGGTTACTGATCTTTTCGTTTGGAGAGGGGGCATGGTGGTTGCTAGGTTTGAAATTCTAGCTCACAACAGATTTTCTTTTCTTAGAGAGAATTCTGTGAAATCTCTCATATTTGTCCTCAGCCATTTTATTTTGTTAAGCTATTCTTTTATTCGGCTTTTCCGTCAAAAAAAAAAATAGTTATTGTACTTTCCGTGACAGCCTTTGCCACATTTGTGCCACATGTGGGACATGCTAACGTTTGAAAATAAAAAAAAAAAATATTTACAATAACTGAGGCATGGCCACAGACACACGCACTTTCGAAAGACATATCTCGTATGCCAAGTATGATTTGATTGGTTGAGTAACTTCAAAGACATCTCATGCATCTCGCATAAATTATGGAGAAAACAAGACAGCTCTACGCAATCAATGGTACTCATCTTTCTTGCATTCACACTCCATAGGAAGGACTTTTACTTAAGCAATACTGAGTTTTATATATGTACGCCAGAGTGATTGGAGATTTATTTAATGAACAAAATATTACCAACTTACAGGGAACAGGTTAAACAGCATTGGCCATTTCACATGGCATCCTTTTGATCTTGTCCACACTGGTATTGGCACTGGTATCCGGCGTAAATACTGAGAAAATAACACAATCAAAGCCGCTGTACTAAAAATAAAAAATAAATGTTCGTATAAAAATAGATTATATCAGCCGTAAACAAGTCTACTTAACCTCCTGCACAATGAGTATGGACAAGACTGCCTAAGCGTATGGTAGTTATCGAACATATTCCGCTATTAAAATGCTGTACATCGAAACGAGTGCAATGTCAACCCGTTTAGCAAATCCAATTAAATGTATGTTACAGACTTCTGAATTACGACACCCACAAATATAAATCACGATGTAATTAGGACGCTTTTACAATGTAATCTATTTTCTTCTTCTTTGCATATGTTATCAACGGAAGTGGTTTTAATAATGAAATATAGACGAAAACATGCATCTTTGATGTCCTAGTTGGGTTTTTTTTCGTACACTAAAATGCTGTTTTGATTAACACATAGCTGTATTCGTTCGTTGACAAATAAAAAAAACACACTAACACGCATGTGCAATGACTTATATTTTCCGTACCAAATCATGGGTGCCATTGTTACATAGTTATGTACTGCAAATACATTCTATTCGTTTTTAGTTCCTGTTTAATAATAATCGGAATAGTGAACACATTTGCCAAAAATATTGGACCAATTGTACGTGGGTTCCATTGAGGAACTCCGTGGGTTCTATTGAGAAACTCCGTTGTATAGATTAAATACATTTGAATAATGACAGAGCAATTTCGATGACACGAACGAGGCCGGTCAAAGACCTGCCTAACCAGGTGACAATTATAAAACGGAAGTGTGACTTACAGGAAGGAGATTCCCCAATGACCGCTTGAGAAGAGAGCCGCCACTCTGTAGATACCTAAACCAATCATTACGATGGTTGGCCCCACCGTAAGAGGACCAATGAAACGTAAAAGAAATCCCATCACACCAAATAATCCTAACAGCACTTCGACACACGACGACACAATGATGGCACCTTGAATCTGACAAATAAAAAGAAATTGATCCACTAATCAACCCACCCCCAGGGGGGATACATAGAACTTGCCTAACGGGGACGTGCCCCTGAAATGGTTCTCGTTTTTTAGAATTTAGGTATAAGTGTATAAGGTATAGGCGAATATCTCCACCTCAGATCCCGGCCTCATATATACATCAACCCGGAAATTAATAAATCAATATACAATGCCCTTCTAATAAACAGTGATGACACAAATGGTATTTTGGTATAAATATGGGTATAGATTTTGCTACTACCCAGGTATGAAAATGGTCACATTTTTGAGCACTCAGCTATGTACCCCCCGATCAAAACCTGTCATTTTGTACAAGGCCTTCGTCAACGCTTGGTGTACGTCCACGGTCGATAACTTGAACTTATCGTTACTTTACGGCTATCAATTCATTGAGGTCCTTTGATCGTGATCTGAGTATTTGATGAAAATATTTATTTGACTGCATATAATCAGAAAATCTAACCGCTAGGAAAGATTCAGAAAATATAAAGCATACTGAAGTCACTCTAACTGGAGTGAGAAAAGTTGCACGGTATTTACTAATTACTGTGATAATGGGACAAGCCAAGTTGAGTTACCTCTTGCATTCTTGTTTGCCATCCTATGACGTCAACATATATAGTCTCATTGATATTGGCAGTAGAGTTCATAATATCTACATCTGTATAGAGAAATGCAGTGTGGAATTATGGCTGGATCAGTACTACAATAAACCCAACTATAGATACAATTGTCTGTAGCCTCCACACTATACAACCCGACTGTTAGGTGTTCGGTTTGAATTCCACTCTTAAAACACGCGTAAAAACACTGTTACAGAGTTTATCAATGTGAAAATGGGCCTCGGTTATTTTTAGTCCATATTAGCTAGAATTGCAATATGAATGCTAATGCATACTGGGTGGACGCGTCAATTTACTTAATTTGCTCAATATATTCTAACCGTTGCATTTGTCATAGCTATACTATACTAAAAACTAAATCACCCGTTACGATACACACGCTGACTACACACATGAATATGAAGATTGTTTCAAGTTTATTCCTACCATGGGCTGGACATTCCCATTCAGGCAGTGAAAGAAACACTAATGCTGGGACATAAAAACCAGTGGAAGGACCTTGCATTATTGGTAATCTAATAAATAAATAAATAAATAAATAAATCAATAAATCAATAAATCAATAAATCAATAAATAAATAAATAAATAAATAAATAAATGAATGAATGAATGAATGAATGAATGAATGAATGAATGAATGAATAAATAAATAAATAAATAAATAAATAAATAAATAAATAAATAAATAAATAAATAAATAAATAAATAAATAAATAAATAAATAAATAAATAAATAAATAAATAAATAAATAAATAAATCATCCATACCTTACCCCGAACGTTGTTTGTAGAAAGGTTGAGATAGAGATAATAAATGTGAGTGTACTAAATATGCGGGCTGTGATCATTCCATCGTGGCTAGCACATATTATTATGGACACAAGAAATGGGTATGTCATGGCACCGCCGAACATCGTCATTTGTTGCTGAAAAGAAGGACAAAAAAAACAATTATTTTTGGCGACTACCTTAAAGGGGCAGAGTTCTGTTTTTTGTCACTCCGTGCATAATATTTGAGATCTATGAATGAATTCTGGCAATAAAAATATTGTATGTGTTGCGAAATGCCTTAAATATCGAGTATAAAACGGGTTGTGACGTACACGACAATTGTCCTTTTTGCATGGCGTTGTTTCTTCTCATGAGGGCCAGTCAATGGATTTCAAAAATGAAAACAGGGTTTAAAAATGAAAAAGGATTTTGAAAACGAAAATAGATTTTGAAAACGAAAATAAATTTTGAAAACGAAAATAGATTTTAAAAATGAAAATGGATTTAAACAATTGTTTTTTTTAAATGCAAACATATATCAGAAACGAACATGGGGTTTTCAAAATCGATTTCCGAACCGGAAATGGTTATTAAAAAAGGCATTATAAAATAAAAATGAATTGTAAAAATGTAAATGAATTGAAAAAAATGATTTTATAAAATGCTATGTTGTGAGCCACCTCGGTTGCCGTAAAACAATCTTGTACTTGTTTACTAGTAAAATACTGTTTGTTTGTCTTCATTGACTAGTAGTCAGATTGTTTTATCAGAACTATCTTGTTCTAAAATAATCAAAGTTGAGAGTACAACTTTCTCTCACTATTTAATGACAATATTTTTCTGCAGCAAAGCCCCGGATTCGAACAAACGATTTCCAGCTCGACGACAAGTGAAATGAAAGCTTCTGTCTTATATCGTTCATCGTTTATATCAAGTTCAAATCCTACCATAGGCTGAACATCACAAGCGCCGACCCATACCCTGGGCGAGTGTGCCACAGACCACGGTTACGTATTTAGTAACCGTGCACAGACTCAATGGGGAGGCCAATCCACTGGCCGAGATTGAATACGACTTTGGGGGAACCTTGGATAAGGTCCGCAGGTGCTTGTGTTCGACCGAGCCTGGTTGACGCCAGGATAGCGCATTAAATTGCGAGTTGAAAGGGAGATGGCCGCACAGCCCTGTCATGTAGTCCGAAACAGGAAATGACTTCTAATTCAAAATGCACTCATGTGTCAGCCTAAGCACTTGCAATTCAGGAGAGGGAACAGTGACATTCTATGTCCGGAACTGTCGCCTGGCAAAAACAAAACTATAAAAAAAAGTTGTTTGTAAGATTATGAGACTCGTATCTTTTAAATTACACTGACGCAACTTTTCTAGTGAGAAAATGAGATTAATCAGTAACATAAAAATGAAACAATCTGACAATTATTTCGAAAAAAATAACTTCTTTCAAAATTTATCTTTCGGCTAAACCTTTCACTGAAGCGGACACCTCCCAAATAATGCACGGTTCAACTGGCATACTATCTGAGCGCTCTTACAGCATGCATACAATAAACACAAACTTAAACAATTCCTATTGTTCCATTGTTTGGGTGAACCACGGTCTCTTGAGAGTGGTACTGTGGGTCTAAGGCTTTTAGTGGTTTGTGTGTGAGTGAACCGCTTTTGTGTTTGTCATGGAATTACAGTTCCCAGGCCCCTGGAATCACAACATCGACTGAATAGTTATTGAAAAGGCTTTGTTAATATGTATTTCCTCTTACACTTCAGCTTCAATTTAGTTCAGGGCTTATTATTGCCGGGTCAGAAGTTTAAAATATGCAGACTGAAAATCCATACAATTTAAAAGTTGCTTTTGTTAAATATAAAAATACATACATTGACCAATAACCTCAATAAAATGGTCGACTGGCGGCCATGTTGTTTTTATTTATACACATACCGATTCCTCACTAATATATCGCTTGAGGCTCGCAGATGAAAAGGCTTTGTATCAGAATCATACATATTGGGTTACAGGTGCATGTCTGAGATGGCTTGCCTGATTTCATTCAGTTAGTACAATGATTCTATATACTGGATTTTGGTTGCAAATTACGATTTCTAGTGATTCAACCAAATATTATCAGCTCATTACACTACATTGCCAACAACATCTGCTATCATCATAGCACTATTTAGCATAATGTACACCCACACTACTGGATTGGTGCTAGTGATGGAATTTGGTACTAAATACAGAACGGGAACTGAGTATTGTCAATGGGTGTTTTCAGATAAAATGACTTGCAATGTGAAAGTATTTGACTGTCATGATCACAGCCACCATTCTAATGAACCGACTTTACACTACCATAAAGATAAATAAATATACAATGACAAAAATATTATTATTAGTTATATTATTTTTACACCATGATTTGGGTATCGGGGACAAATCGTTTTGATATCGTTTTTTGGCCTATATGTTCGTAATTCTGTCATCTTTCATGTCGATATATGGTTCACCCATAAGAAAATACTCAAAACATTTGTTTATTATTAATGTATTGTTTACCTGGAATCCAAACAAAATAGCGGCATACCACGGAGGGCTTTCCTCGATCGAGAAAATTAAATCCATTCCTTGATAGACCGTCTTTTCATCATGAGTATCTACAACGATCACATCAGCATCGCTCTCGTTTTCTTCGTCGCTAGTTTGGTCGTATCGTGTCGCCTCCTTGCCGTTCATAGCCTTCATTTGGATGTCGCAACCATCGTCCACTTGAACCGTACTATTGACAGTGACGTCCATTTCTGTGCACTATACCAAGAAGTACTACAAAAAGAAAAACAATTGTACAAATTGACATATATCAATCCAAACGTCGTCGACGTTCCGCCTCAGTGTTACTGTATAGCCGTCATCCTCTATTATATAGACAAAGAAATACTGCAACCATCGCAGGAAATCCGTCCGGATCACTGGGAGTCTATTGTAATCACGCACCCGCTATAGATTCAAGGGATAACAGAAAATGTGTCCTTAGTGAATTCCGATTGTTTGCTTACACAAGACTACACGAGATAATGCGATAAAACGTGTCTTTGTTCATTTACAGTGGGCGTACTTGGCAAACTTACATAATGTCTGAGCATGGATGATAATGTGTTATTATCAGTTAAGTAGCAATACAATGTAACAAGTTGCAACGAACTTAATCTGGACCGGGTTTCTGTACCGACTGTAGTAGTCTTTCTTCCGAAAACCAGTTGTACATGCGATGTCTACATTGGTATGGTCAAACATATGATGAATTGACATGTTGAGAATCAACATTCGTCATAAAGGTTTGTTTAGATGTACACACAAAAACGCCCCCCGTGAGACGTCAGTGCCCGAAAACAAACAACCCCGGGGGGTGGGGGCATTACAATTTCGTCGCAATATGTTTTAAACACCGGAATTTCATCAGTATCCCCGTGTTGTTGAATGACAGTTTTTTTTTATTTGTCGTGGACACAGCAAGTAGTCTTTATGCCATACCATGGCTTTATCAAAGGAAAACCATTCTGCTACCGAGCAAATTGACGTGTAAGTTCAATACAATTAACACAATGCAACATATATAACATCGTGATTTGGGTGTGATGGTTTTATCGGAGTATTGTGCTGAAGATATAAAGTTCACTGTCTTCCATGGCAAGATATGATCCATATCAATAAGAACACACGTACTTAGTGAACTAGTTAGTGGCTATATGCACAGTAAACCATTTTACAGATTCCAAAGCAGCGAATTGGGTAAGTCAATTAAGTAACAACTGTAAAATCATTCAGTTCAGAAGTTACTCGGAACACAGAGATAATTATGTCCAACACCATAAATCTAACAAAGCATCTTTAAGAACCCGAGCCGATAAATTGGAAAAAGAATCTGATCAAATATACTAAAATAGAATGGTGAGCAACACATGCTATCGTATGGTCATAATTAGTTGACTAGTCCAACACCACATTACATATTTTTTTATAATTGCCACGACTCGCTTGTCAATACCGTTTATTGCGTATCCATTTTCCAGGAAAAATAAAATCATTAACAATTCTTTGGAACAATCATAACCTAATTCGATAAACTAGTGTTGTAGTAAAGCGTTAACACCAAACACTGTCACTAGTTTTTAAAACAAACATTGAAACTACATTTGTTGGTATAGGTTTTGTCGGTCGATTTATACCAAGGCGCTTAGTATTACATCCACACACAATCCTTCTGGTTTCTCATTGTTGACTCTACACGACGTTAAAAGGAATTGTTGATAGAAAAGTGGAGGGTCGTCATAGTGCTCACCTCTACAAGGAACATTACAATAAACATATTTATATAAATCCAGTCACAACAAATGTAAGCAATTTGTGGTATACATTTGATATAATAGGGATGGTATCAAATTCAGGACCCAGTAATATCAGTTTAACTAAACTCGTGCTGTAATTTGTTTTATTAATTATTAACACTCCGTTATTGATATTAAATCCAATTTAATTTATGAGGTCATCTGTAATGCAATTGACGGGTTGTCAATTTCACAATGTAAACAAATTCGACTCAATTCATCAATGTAGCAGAAAAAACACGGCGACCCATCACGTAAATATTATCTAACGTCATGTTATGTATGGAGTAAATTTGGCTTTAAATGGAACCGCCTAGCAAATTACGAATACAATTATGTACCTGTATGAAGATACACATCATTAAAAGATGCCCAGACACGGGCCCATCGCAAAGTGAGAACCATATGTCTTGGTAGGTATTAGTACACGACTCTATGTAGTCGTGTTTCTTATTATATCGCTGCCGGACTTCTGTTCGTACCATTTCATGAATAAACACCGATAGAGGACAATACGTTCTTACAAAAGCCTCTCTGGGACAAACAAACTATTTGACTACGATTCCGCATTCATTCCACCTTACCTGTGCTTTTGTGGTACATACACTTGAATTTGTACAAGACTAGCTGTATTCAAGTGACTACAGACACACCCATATACATACATGCATACAAAGGCTCATTGACAGTGTTTTTACAAAATTACTCCCACCACAATGTGCTTAAAAAAGTGAACACTCCGCCTGTAAGAATATAAACACGGTCACGCTTACAATTGGTGATTGCGCGAAAGAGGCACAGGACATGAGAACCATTTTGCGCTGAACGGTCACCATCGTACAGGATTGTTTGCATTATTGTTGCGCTTATTGTTGACAAGTACGTTAAGAATGTCAAATTAGACTTGATAAAACAGGAATATTCTGCCAAAAGCGCTCGCCGATTTGGAAAATATACAAACCTAAAACTTCGCTCAAGATTCGAATCTATGCCCGTCACCCGGGTGCAACTTCCTTGGACGTACGTTGGGACACAGTGTAGACGCAAACCTCTCTTACAGTTCAGTCATGTAAGCCAGTTTTCTTCCTTCCTGTCATGTGATAGAAATGACAGGCGTGTAGCTGTAGCGACGCCCACATTGGCTACCACTATCATTGTAACAACCTGCCGCATGGAGCCACGCAGAGTTGCTGAATGTCATTCGATTTCAATTCAGGGGACACCGCCGCTGAGCAAACCACTATGAATAGCTCACTCGGCTGTTGACACGCCACGCTGCGATCTCAGTATGAACCCAATTGATGAATCACGATCGGCACGCTGACTGCGGTTTGGTGGCAATATTTGCGAGGATTCAGAGCGAAGGTCAGAGAACTAATCAGAGAACAGGTCTTCACAAGGAGTGTACGTAAAAGCATTCTTTTAGCAGTTCACATGGACACAAACAAATGAAGTGAACGTGCGCTATAAAAAGGCTGTACCTACGTGATTGTATAAACATCATAACATGGAACGTCCGCGCAGTGTGAGCGCAGCATACCGACGAGAAAATTAAATCGAATAAAAATGAAGCAATGAAAAGCGAAATAAAACCAAACAAAGGCAGTGCCAGGCAATCGCATATTTACTAAGTATTACCGACATAAAGCTCAACAATATTGAACAAAAAGAATGCGTTCGTCATCTTCTAAAATTGCCAAGTACATAATAACTATCAGGGTTAGGTGTGGGTTGGGGTGACAGAGACAGATTAAATTATTAGTACCATCCTTCCTACCTCTCCCACATGCAATACACTACTGTTTCCTAAAAAAAACATATCTACGACACTATTGGCCATTATATTGACTATTGACCATAGTAAATTAACTATTGACCATAGTATATTGACTATTGACCATAGTATATTGATTATTGACCATAGTAAATTAACTATTGACCATAGTATATTGACTATTGACCATAGTATATTGATTATTGACCATAGTATATTGACTATTGACCATAGTATATTGACCAATGACCATAGTATATTGACTATTGACCATAGTATATTGACCAATGACCATAGTATATTGAATATTATTAACCATAATAATAATCGTAATATTTGAAACCCATTTAGCCGCCAAAATTCACGCATCTGGAAAATACTAATCAGCGTTTTAGAAAATGCAAGTTGTTGAATTAGAACATGTTCTAGAACACTTGAGGTTGACATTAACACATTATTTGAATTACCACTAACTCTCATGAAGTTAACACAACTATTTATGAAAAAATGGACAGTTCTTGAATAATTGACCAGAGATCATACTATTTTTTTTCTATTAAATGAAAATACATAAACATGATATGCCATAAAATGGTATACATTTATTGCACAGAACGGTTCATAATTAAAACCACGTGCTACACTTAATAATATGAGCTTATCACGAGCATGCCGAAAAGTATGCACGAAGACAGTAAAGTACACTCAGCGTCGGTCGATACTTCCGTTGTACTGTCTTCGTGCATACTTTGAGGTATTCTTGTAATATTAATTGCACCATTTGGTGTGAAATACTATTTGTTTCAATTTGAAGCATTATGTATTTTATTAATTTGGTCAATTCTGATATTGATAGTAAAGACCCTCTTTAAAAGTAATTTATTTCATGGTAGTTTCAGTGAGTTGAACTTCAAAAACGATTTTGCGACAGTATGCCACACACTGTACAACCTAACACGAGTTGCATTCACCTTCTCTATCGTTCGTCCTTGTTAGTAAAGTGCCAAATAGTGTTTACTTTGAGCCATTTTGCTACACTTTCTGTTTTCAAAATGGCATTACTTTGATTTAAACGACGACTAGAATTAATGTCCTCATGTTTGTGTAATAATAAGTCTGGGACACCACACACCGCATTCGTTTATTTTTTTATTTTGTTCTAACACTTATGGTAAAGTTCATACTTAGTTCTCAGGGACGGGGCACTTCTACATAATTACGTGGTCTTGAACCTGATCATGTTAACTGTGTCACATTGACAACTGTTTTGTTCGTCAACATATCAATTTCTTCCTATTATACGCGGCTATATAATCGCATTCTATCAGGACCTACGTCCGTGGCGCGAAATCTTATTCTTGCCGATTTCTTTTGACGGAAGGAGACAACCCCTGTATGTGTTATTCACATTTGGGGCTTACCTCTAAACACGGGGCCGTGGTATATCATCTATTTTCGCGTAGCTCAATGTATTAGCTAGGTGCATTTGTTTTACTTTGTGATACATTCCTGTAAATATCACTAACATTCACTGTAGTCGCATACAAACCCCTTGATGAACTACAGAAATTATGAGGATTTTTTTTTGGTTTTTGCTGATCAAACATTTGTCTTGCTTCTCCTGTTTTAACTATGTGATC